TTTATATATATATATATATATATATATATATATATATAAACTATCACTGTCTACTTTATCATGAGAAATGTATGTTTTCCTATTCAAGTGTTTTGAGAGCAGGTTATTATTCTAAATTATAACGTGTGTGTGTGAGAAAGCAAGAAACAGTCTTGCACATATACGTAATTAATACTTAACTAAAAATATAAAGGTAATTTTTCTAGTTTAGGATTTATAAATTTATATTCAAATCGGTTAGACTTACCTCCTTCTTGATCTGCTTGGATGCCTTTGTTGCATCACCTTATCCAAAGTTCTCCACTCTCCCACCTTTCATGTGACTGGTTTTATAAGTCTACATAAATGACATTAGCTCTACTTTGCCACCATTATTACAGCTGTTTCCTAAGCTGTGTTTCTTTAGTAAATGACTGAATACTTAGTTAAGTGAAGTGATTATTTGATGCTAACTGAGACACAATTAGTGAATTTGTTGAACTATGATAACATGAGTATTTGATTCTTAACTGTGAACTGAGCATTTGAGCTTATTTAGTTCACAAAAAGAGAAATTAGGTACCTTTAGCAAAGATGGATGTGTCTAATCAAAATGATCTAAGTTACTGGACTTATTTAGCAAAAAAAAGGAATTACCAATAGATGACAATATCAGAAAAGTAAACCAGGACAAATAAACAAAATTATAACATAAATTGTCCAAAAGATGTTTTTGGATATCATGGAAAAATATAAATGTGTAAAACAGAAAAAAAAAGTCCTAACTTTCAGAAACTCGTGTTCTTCTGGGTGAAAAAGAAGGAAACTTAGTCTCTCTAAAAGTTAGAACTGTTTTTTGTGTCCTATTTTGTTTGTTTCTTGAGTTTTAAGTTTTAATACCTTCTGATCAGAGTAAGCTCTGTATTTAGAGCTAAACTGAAAATCAACCTGGCCATCAGTGTAGCTAATTAAATACACTTTTCTTACAATTCTACTTATAAACATAAGAATGAGTTGTTTCATCAGTTGGATGCCCTCACTGTTAACAATATTTTTGTCTGTAAGCCAAACTAAGTTTCTAAATCAAAGAAAGATGAAATGATTACTGAGATTTATTTCATGTAATTAATTAATCTAAATTTTAATGTATTCCCTCAACTCATTGGGATGCTCTTTTTTTGTTTATTATAACTTTTTTTTAGGTAGTGTAGTTTTGTCATTTTTGATCTAATGTACGGAAAGTTTTAACTTTTCCTTTTTACCAGTGAAGATGATTTTAGTTTATTTGGCTTTGTTTAGTTAAATTGAATTAAGTATTTTAATGTATATTTTGGTATATTAATTGATTATGTTGCTCTAATATTTATCAATGAATACCTGGATATTTTATTTTAACATGAGTTGAATATTTGGAAATTGAATGATTGGCTTTACTGAGTTTAAAAGAGCTCAGTATTTGGTTGTATATTGCCATATGACTGAGTATTTGGGTTCATGTAATTTTAAAATCAAAATTCATGCTTTGTTGCTGCTAAATAAATTTCAGTAATGAGTTTTACATATCAGAATAAATAATTAATTATTGTATTGTCAATATTCATACTCACAACTAAAACTTTCTGGTCTTTTTATATTCGTTCCATAATAATTAATGAAATAAACATTGTTTCTTATTTTTTGTTTTATTTCATTGGAAACAAAAGAATAGCATAAGTAAAAAAGATTAGTAGGTCATACATTCTTTTACTGTTTTAATTAGGGTACACTCTGTGGTTCTCTAGAATTGTTTGACTGTAGCCTAAAGAAGTCCATTCACAACAACAAATTTGAAATAACATTTGTTGGACCTAGTCAGGTAAGATTGTTATCTGTTTGTTTTTTCCATCAAATTTGCTTTTTTGTTCAGAGAGGGCTTTCTTACTG